AGATGTGATTGTACAGAGGCCGGTTGTCGGCCTTGACGGGGGCCGAATTCACGTATGTATGAATGATGAAGGCAGCGGCGCCGCACCTGTTGAACATTGAACCAGATGACCACAAGAGCTGAAGACTTCAATGCAGCCTCCATCAATCAGATGTGAATGATAGCCAGAAAGGTTGGGGTGCACAGCGGGGGTTGGAGATAAACAGATCCCTGCTGAGATAGCGCCAGAATGATGGGTCATAGTCGTTCCCTGAGTTTTCTAGAACTGCCAGGGTCACAGTCAAAACAAACGGTGTAATTAAGCATGACAGGATGATCGACCGTATAGAGCGAAATGACGGACCAGATGCTGGCACGACGGTACCTCACTGTAAGCTCTAGCTCAGGTTCTTCAAATTCCATCAACAAGGGCATCTGTAAAGAGATTGCAATAAGTGCTGAAAATTTCAACAACCATCACGGGAAACAGACCAATGATTGGGTCAAGGAATGGGTGCCAGATTCGGTACTGTCTGTCATAAAAAGACGAGAAACGCATTCTGGCACATGCCCTCCGCCACCAAGGGCGCACCGCGCACCGTTGAACACCACTAGGAAAACTGAAAGCCGCCCTTGCTGCTCTCTTGACAACCGCCCAGCGACTGAAGCGTTTCCGGTGAGAGGGCTGGAGCGAAAGCGGGGGCTCCGGTGTTACAGCTGCCGATCAGTTCAGCCAGCAGAGAGAGTGGCCCGGCGGCCGAGCGAACATTCAGCCGGCGGCCACACCACACATCAGCGAAAAACGAACAGAGCTTTGACGATGATGATAGTCGAGGGGCTGATGGCTTGTATATCTGCAAATCTCGAGCATCGAAAACATCATTTGTATGCTTATCAGGGAGCGTATCTCTGGCATCCCACTGTCTCACACCAGGCCTGGGTTGGTCTTTTCCGTCCTGGGATCGGCTCGACCGTAAAGAGGATGGGCGAGAAGAGTTAGTTCCAAGGTTGAGTGGGATGTGAGAGTGCCAGGGCATGCATGGCTGCAGCGTCTTGTGGGAGTGCGAGTGGGCTGCTCTGGTCTGCTACAGTAGACTCTCACTCGCCCCTGTGAGTGAAGCTGCCTGTTGACGATTGATTGAGCGCTTCACGATTTATCCCTCATGTGAAATGTTTAAGAAGAGATCACGATGGGACCGTGCACTCCCCATGCTTTGGATGTCCATGTCGAAACCAATGGATGGATTGAAGGGGCCATGTTGAAGAATTTAAGGTGAAGATTGAGATGGACTGGTTTTTTTTAGTGGATGTCTCCTTGCTCCACTTATGGGCCTTGGAAGCCCACTCTGATCCCTCGAATACGAGCCTTTGATTGGCCCAAGGGCTAAGGCCCTCGAGTCGACAGAGAAAAGAAGGACTTTCCTGGGCTGCCCCCTCCTCTTAATTTACATTACATAAAACCGTATTCCCTTGCGGCCTGAGTGATCCCCTTCTCTGTTATCGCAACTGTCCCCCCAAGAACTCGACGCGAATTACAGCCCGTCTTTTATCTCTTCGTAGAATTTCTTACGTTTTTCAAAGACCCTTACCTGCGACTTGCCACTGATAGGCGCTTGTTAGACGCAGCGCGTATCATTGTCGTTCAGCCAGCACTATCTTTGATAGCCAAGCGTTTTGGTTTTGTCTGCGTTTTTGCGTCTGATAAGGGCCATTTTCACACTCCAGTACGCTGTTGACCCCCCGTACAACCCCCAATCCGGGCTGCATTTCCTATCTCTTACGCCCGCTCCCACTACGCCCGCAACCGCAAAGCAAAAACCCAACGGGCGCACACTTGCCTGTCTCGATTCTTTGCGCCCGTCGTCGTCTTGACGTTCCACCTCGTCACGTAACAGAATTCCCGTTTTGCGTCTCTGGGGCGTTTGCCGCTGCGCGGCAAATCGTCTAGTAGCCCGGTCTGGGTAATGGCAGACAAGATGTCAATCGATAAGGCGGATCCTGCGCAACACCAAAACAACAATCATCTCAACGGCCTAAACGGTCATTCTCGGGAAGAGACCGACTCTCTCGTTGGCTCCAGCCCTGAGGGCGATCATCACCCTGCGATAACCTCTGCTGCCAATGCTACCCAAGAGCCTCAGCAGCCCAAGAGGAAGGGTGGCCGCAAGCCTGTAAGTCTTGTCTTGTTTCACTTTACTTACACCACATACACACTACACACTGCTTTCCCTCTATCTATGAGGATAGCTTATTGTTAAACAACACGATGGGATTGGGATAGATCAAGACATCACCTCAACAACTCAGCTTCCCCGCTCTCACTCCGGGTCTTACCCGTGTCTCTCTCCAAGACAACATGACGCACACTAACAGAACATGAAAAGATCTATGCGACTTCCGAAGAGCGAAAGCAGAGGAACCGACAGGCTCAAGCTGCTTTTCGTGAACGTCGAACTGAATACATAAAGCAACTTGAAGAGACCATCCGCGTCCATGAGTCCAACCTCCACAACCTTCAGGCGGCTCACCGCACCGCCGCCGATGAGTGCCTGATGCTTCGATACAAGAACTCGCTTCTCGAGCGTATTCTTCTTGAAAAGGGAATCGATGTCCAGGCTGAGCTTCGCGCGAAGACGGGTAGTCCTAACTTGGGACCAACCCATATGCCCCAGAACCTCGTTCAGCCTCCTCCGATTCAGCGTGCGATCATGAACCGACACCACCAGTCTCGACGATCAAACTCGAACATCGCTCCCAAGGCTGAGCCTGTGCCAGTACTGCCACCTCCGCTGCAACCTCATTCGACTGCTACCTCACCCAAGAATCGACCTACACCGTCATCTCATTCCAACTCGCCGAGCAACACCGGCTCCGCCTTCTCACCTGCCGCCTCGGATAACATGTCAATGAGAGGCTCGATGACTAGCATGTCGCGCCAGCAGATGCCCCAGCAGCAACAGCAGCAGATGCCTCAGAGCACACAGGCCCCTCGATCATCGATGATACAGAATGGTGGACGGGGAGCTCAAACCGGATCCGGAGCTTCTTACTACCCTACCCCTGCCTTCCAAAACCATATTGAACAACTTGGTAAGCTTTTCCGCATCACTTGAAGGATAACACATCCTAATCATACATGCAGAGCAAGAATATGAACAAGACGGTATGATTGATGAGCCTGAAATCGAAACACCAGCTGGTCATGGAGGATACCCCTCAGGCTACAATGGAGAGAACCAACAGCCTATGATGATGTCGCCTGCTTCTAGTGGACCTGGACACCAGATGACACCATCTCACGAGCCTGTCCAACAACCACAAACCACGCACTCTCAATACCCGTCGATGACCCAGCTCCTAGACCAGAATGGCCTGGATTGGGATCCTTTTGGATTGAGTGCTAGCATGGCATTCCCTAACGGGCAACAGTTTCAGTTTGAACAAGCCAACATGAGGTGAACTTGCAACGCGAACAAAACCTTTGGAATTGGTCATCCAGAGGGTCCATTCATCGACAGACGCCTGAAGAGCTGATATCATAGGAGACTCCATACTCCTGACAGCTCTCGCCTAAGTCTTGAAATCCATGGTCGAGGGTTTTTGGGGCGTTGGGATACCCCTCATTAACAAAAAACCTCGCGCACCATAGGCATGCTTCATGAAGACAAAAACACTTAACGGTCGCACTTGATTGAAAGGCAATTTCGACGCGACTGACTTGTTGATTCTTCTGCGGGATGTGCGATAGATATATCCCACCGCAACAGACTTGAGCAACAGGCTTACCACAGCGAGGCCCTCAGCCATTTCCCATTCTCAATGTAATGTCGCGCTGAGGATGAGTAGGGCTATGGTACCATCCTGATGGCAAGACCTGTCGAAGGACTTGACGACTACAATTAAGGACAGAACACTTCAGCATAACATTATCTCGTGTTGAACAGCTCTGGCAGTACTATATACAAAAGCACTTAATTATCGCTTCCCACAACTTTTGGCGACAAATCATTTCAAGAGCGAGATATACCTGTCGACTTAAAACATGTGATGGGATACTGGCGCAGAAAGGACATTGGAAAAAAGAAAACTAGCATTATATTACGATGACGGGATTTGGATTTGATTCAGGACTCAAAATGATTGAGGATTTCTAAAAGTTACATGATCAGACAGAGGATCTGTCGAAAGCGGTGTTTTTTTTGTCGAGATATCAAATCATGCAATAGTTAGTTGTAACGGGACATGGGACTTGAACATAGCAATTGCGTAACGAAGCACGCATTGAATACCATCTTTTGCAACATACATTGCTCTCCAATAACTCTTGATCATTCCATTGCTCTTCGTCGACCTCACCAAGTGGGACAGCGGCTGAACCTTTAGTCAATAACACTACCCCAGAAATGCATCATCATGGACAAAGCGGATTGGAACCAACAAGGAACCAACCTTACAAGCAAGACTTGGACTGGCGAAGATGCCACGGTGTGGGACAAGGTGACAAGAGGACAAAGTCAAGTCAAGGTGAATCTTGGCGTAGTGCCGAATATCCATGAGGCTTGTTATGCGTTATGTAAGTGTTATTAATAGCTTCACTGCTTGATCTCCCCAGTTGTTGGTTGACGCTGGGGCCAGACCTGTGATGTGAAGTTGGAGGCGGGTCGGAACGGATGCGGGATAATCAGTGGGACTTGTAACTTCACATGATCGACGATACCTAGTGTGAGTTTGTTTTATGAGAGTGTGAGAAAAGGGGAAAGCCTGGGGAATTGCGGGAGAAGACGGCGATGTTCTGGAGCCCCTATTGTTAGTGTTGAAGCTATTGTCTTTAAGGATGGAGGTAAGTAAGACAGGACGAACTAAAGAAGATTGCATGGGGATATTTGGTTTTGAATACCAAACATCTGGTCTTTAAAGTTGAGACATAATCGTTACCTGGTCTGAAATATACATATTTGATGAGGTCAACCATGTAAAACGATTCGACGTACACCTATAACCCTAGAAATAAACTCCAACGCTTTATATATACGCCAAAAGCATGATTCCAAACACAATCGTCCTTGTCCAGTATCGCATATCCAGCATGTGAGATGCCGCACTCTTCCAATGTATTCTGGTCTGTCCAGCCTTATCCGCCTCATCGATGCTACAGACGACCTTACATCCCTCCTTACTATCATCTCGACGTACCAGTCCACCGTCTTGTGTAGCATCGCTCTCCAACGTGCGACCATCTAAACCTCTCTTTTCCTCGTTGTCTTTTGTAACATTATACACCATATCGATCCACTGGATTTGCATATAGGCTGCACCATTGAGGCTCATATTACCACTCCACGAACCACCGTCACTCCAAGCATTGAGAATAATCTGTGCCGGGTCCTTTGGTGTCTGGAACTCTATGCTGGCGACCTCTTGGCCATCAGCATACCACGTTGAGCTTTTGGGCGTCCAGTCCAATCGGTGCACAACCCAATCATCCCATCTAATACCCTTGGGCAGAGTACCGTTACGAGTAGCTTTGGGAATATCATCGCCGTCCTCTGTGAAAGAGGGCTGGTTTGTGTACTGAACCCGGTTCTTGGGATCGCGCGTCATAATCTCAATATCAGCTTCTTGCACATCAGCTAGCTCTTCACCCCCGAGGTACGTGAAGATAGCCATGCATGCGCCCGCGCTGCCGGTGACACGGGCGAGCATCCGTACTGAGACGTAGTGATACGTCGACACAGACTCGAACTCTGCAGCGCTTTGGAAACCGGGAAATCGCATGGTTCGCATGGTAAGGAACGTATCCGAGGCTGCATCTTTGTCGTCATTCTTTTCGATGTAGATGTTGTTGGGAGAGTTGATCATTAGGACAGTTGCATCGCCTGAGAGACTAACGCCCTTTCCGCGATTGCTCCAGTCTTGAATACTCCTCCAGGTGGTATCCCAAGCGTCGCTGTAGAAATAGTCGCTTGTTACACCTGCTGTTCTGGAAGCATTTTGGATAGGACTGGGAACTCCAGCATAGTCCCCGAGGTTTCGGTAGTCATAGAAACTGTGTCGTGAATAATATGCAGAGTTGGTGCCATTAGTGAGATAGCAATCACACTCATCGTTTGATGATCCATGAACTATGGCTACTAACACAGTGAGTTGTATGCAAAGCAAGCGACTTGGCCAAAACATAGCTGTAAGTTAATCAATCACAAAACAGCAGAAGCAGAGGCAGAACATCAAAGCACGCATTGTCATTAATAAATGTTAGGAGCTGAAAGCCATTGAATTGGCTTATGGACCTCCTTAAGGTATTTGCCCATTCAGACCGGTCGAGGCTTTGCTTAGCCTCATTCCCTCGTAGGAGGCCTTTGACAAGTAAGACGGCATCCTACGACAATTGCGGGTAATAGTATTTAGTTGACATAATGGGCTCTGCCAAACAGACTCATTGGGTCAGATATTGTATGGTAACCGCTGGATAGCACTGACAATGTAAGGTTAAGTTGCATTTCCAGGACATTCCAGACTGACAACCTGGAAGTAAAGGTGAATGAATCACGTGATCAGCCTCATCCGCTTTACCGGGAAGGCCCCGCCTAATTTATGCAGCATCACGGCGCCGCTGATTCATTCTTCATTATTATTCGCATCTGCATTCGCAGTCATTTTATATCGTACGTCGTCACAAACTACGATTCGTTTTTTGACGACGTGCAAAAGGCACTCTTGCTATGTGAAGCGTAGCCTGCGACTCCATTTACTGGATGACAAACACCACACTCGCTCAGCTTTGCTAAGACAAACTCCAGGTGCATAAGTATCACGATGACACTGTCGATTTTCGTAAACTCATTTTTGGGATGATAGACGCTTCAACATCGCAACAACAACCGCAATAATCGCCATGTCGTCGCCCAAGCCATCCGCAGGCCTAGAGGAGCCTGCAGCTCAGTCGCCAAAGCCAGAGTCGCCAAAGCGCGACGGCGCAACCGAACCGGTGGAGCAGAGTTCTGATCGCGAAGATGGAGAGGCTTCTGAATCTCCCAAGGAACCCAACAACGCTGCCTATGATAAGGATGGGCCTCCTTTACCAAACGAACCGACACCAGATGGACCACCTTTGCCAAGCGAACCTGTACCTGGTGGCCCTCCGTTGCCCAACGAGCCTGCGCCGCAACAAGAGGATGATGGCTGGGATTGTCAGTGGGACCTCAACACGCAGGCTTGGTTCTTCGTGAATCGCTTCACTGGCAAGTCTCAGTGGGATAACCCTCGCGTTGCCACAAGCGCTCCTGTCCCCGCTGCCCCGGGCACAACCCCAGGTGTTCCTCAACCCCCAGCTTTAGAGAAACCTGTCGCTGGAGGCTACAACCCGGCAATCCATGGCGACTACGATCCCAACGCTTGGTATGCAAAAAGTACTCAAGAAGAAGACCAAGTTGCGACCACAAGCGCCGGCATCACCGACGCTGCAGAGATATACGCCGCAACAGCAACCTTCAACCGCTTCACAGGCCAGTTCCAAACAGCTGGCCAAGGACCCGAGCGTCATAGTGATGAAGCCAAGTCCAAGCGCCAGATGAACGCCTTCTTTGACGTTGAAGCCGCAGCCAATGCCCATGACGGTCGCAGCTTGAAGGCAGAGCGTTCAGGGAAGAAGCCTTCCAAGGCTGAGCTGAAACAGTTCAAAGAGAAGCGACGGGCTCGTAAGGAGGAAAAGCGTCGCGCTTGGCTCAGGGACTGAGACTAGCTGAACTTTTTCCATTTTCATATACTAGGTGGCATCATTGCTCGAAGGCGTTCTTATGGTAGGGAGGAGTTGGTGGATCGTTTCTGGATTTGGTTGAAGAGACGACGGCCGCTTTGGATGTAGACATGCTGTCGTGCATGGAAAGAAGGTCGGTGAAGGCTAGAAGGCTAGGGACTGGTTATATATATTTTATACCCCAATAAATCTTTTAAAATTACTTTTCTATGTCCCGTAAAATGGCTAGTCCTCATCTTCATCTTCATCATCGTCCAACTCCATATTGAGATGAACGCTCTCATCATCATTGTCGTCCTCCTCCTCTTCAGGCTCATTAGCCACAACTGGGGCCTTTTGAATGGGCGCCGGGAGAACACGATCAGGAGAAGAGGACTTTTCCAGGACCTGTCTCTTTGGGGGCGCAGGGTCTGACCCTTCATGCTTTCGTTTGGGTGGCGAGGACGCCCGCGCGAAGGCATTCTCAGTTGAGGGAGCACTGGCCTTCTTGATAGGGGCAAAGGGGTTGCTCTGTATGGGTAGGTTCTTCTCAGCGGGAGCTGTGGGCAGTGCTCCTGGCTTGAATAAGTCACCCTTCTTTTCAGGCACTGCATCTTGCTCTTCGACATCACCATCCTCCATCTCCTCATCTTGCTCCTCTTCCTCTTCCTCCTCTTCGACAGGTAGAGCCTCTAGTGGCTCTTCACCCTCAGCGAGACTCTGAGCACCCGCACGAATGTTGGTGCGCAAAATCTCGAGACCTTTGTCATCAGGGAATTGTTGGGTAAGATGGGGAAGAATGCTAGGATATACTCGGCCACGTTGGTCCTTGTATGGGTTGAGAACACTTGCCAGCATAGCATCGCGGTTATTTGTCAGGATAGCTGTCTGGTCAATGAGGCCACGCAAAGAAGGCTTGAGATGTCGCTGTGGCAGATTTGACAGAATGACGGGTAAGAGATTGGCAGCAGCGGCCTTGTGCTTGGGCCCTAGGGAAGGGTTTGAGACAACGGCGGCGGCTTGAGGCTGAAGGAAAAGATCAGCATTGGCGGCGATGCTGTTCTTCTTACTGTCGGTGCCAGTTGCCGCTGGCATCTCGGCCTCTTTGAGGTGACCTGCATCTTGTTGCAAGTCACGACAGCAAGCGCCAAATACAGGGTCCAAGCTACCAACCGACGGCTTGGACAGTGTTGGGCCAGAGATGAGCAAGATCTCCTTGAGTACGGTGTATCCGGTCGTTCGGACCGTGGGAAGGTTGATTCCCGACTTAAATACTCGGACCAGGTGGTCAAGCACCTCTGGGGCAATAGACACAGCATTCTGACCCAGACGCTGGAACAATGCTTCAATGAGGTGCAGAGCAGCGATGTGAATATCCGGTAACGCAGCCCAGAGCTCCTCCTTCTCTTCCCTGGCAATCGCGGCGTTGGTCTGAAGCGCTTGATCCCATGTCTGGGACTTGGGCGAGAGTCTGGCTATGAGAAGTAATCGAGATGCAGCGTCAACAAGCGCGCTGGTGGGTATTGTGACGGGTGCCTTGGTAGGATATCGCAGACAATCAGACAGATACTGGAAAAGGCCAATTAAACGATCAGCCCCGGCGTTGATTCCCGACCATGCTGGGAGCTCGTCCACAGATGAGCCACCACCGTTCGGCTCATTATCAAGTTCCACTCGCGATCGAGTGAGGCCGCTCGTTCCCTCCCATGATTCTTCGACGGCTCTCAGAACCTGGTCAGCTGTAGAGTGCAGCTCCTTTAGGAGAGTGTCGATCAGCTTGGCCCACTCATCGCTACCTCCTGACTTGGCTGCAACATGGTGAAGCGAGATAACAAGTTTTCGCGAAGCTCGCTGAAGGCTTTGTGGAATGACAGTCTCATCTGATTGCGTGGGTACAAGATAAGGCTTGACTGCTGTTCTAAGCTTGGAGTTTGAAGGTCGAATGGTAGTTGGGTAAAGAGGAATCAAGGCGGACAGAGCGTCGCAAATAGTCTCAATGACAGATAGAGGTGTTTGAAGTTTCTCGCCGTTCTTGGGTAAGCTGATGAGCTTTATGCAAGCTGTGATAAATGTTGGGATTGTGGGTGTGGCAATCTCTCGAACAAGGGTCTGATATGGCTGGACTGAGATGTAGATTCGTGTAAGAGTCACAATGGCCAACTCCTTTGAAGCAATGGGATCGCTTTTCTGTATATTGTCAGTACTCGGCTTAGGCAAACAAGGATATCGACTCACCTCAACTACAGACAGAAGTCCAGTGACCCATGGCTGACAACCTCGTAGAATTTCCCATCCACCAACGTCAACCACAGTCTTGATAAGCGCAACAGCAGCGAATCTAGCCTCACGACTTCGGCCATTAAGGTGATTAGTGATGCTAGCCTTGAGCTTGTGGACAAGCTGAGCGGCTTCAGAGGAGCTATCCTTGACCTTGCGGTCTGAAGGCGCTGACAAGGGCTCCTTGCAGTGTAGGACGTGGTTGATGAGAGATGGCAGCGCATGAGGAAGCTGAGTTGGCGGAATTGAGGTGAGTTTGCGGCATAGAACCCGCAGGTCGGGTGGTAGTGAGGCCGCCATGAGTACTGAATCCTATATGAGGTTTCTGGGATAGTTTGTGAGGTCTCAGATGCTTTGCGACAAGTTGAAGCTTGAAGATATTGGCCAAGACAAGAGTAGACCAACTCAAAGTTGATACTGCGCCGTCACGTGTAACAGGCGAGAGCAGCAGTCGCAAAAGAGGTTCAGTTATATTTGAACAGAGATTCAGTATCCAATTCTGTTGTTCAACTGGAAATCTCGGCTTATAACCTCGAATTATGATGAAGCTGTAAATTCATCGAGAAGACTCCATTGAAACTTTTTTTCTGCTCTCAGTAGGTCCCTAGCAACAAGCATACCAAAGGTGGGTTAGCTTGAATGGCGGGAAGACCCCTGGCAGTGGATCCAACGGTGCTGTCTTAGGTGGTTCTGATTGGCCCAGAAACTGAGTTACGTCGTCCCAGCAGCTCTCATCTCCAGCAAATACCACCTTAACCACCTTGAAAGTCCAGAGACCGTAATTATAGCATTCACCTCAGGCGGCCTCTGAAACATCACGATTGACTTTTGTTACCAATATTTTCGATATTGTAACTCATCTATAACCTCAGATCAGAGGATTTATCTTTATTTACCAACCAAATCTTCCTCGCCATGCGCTTGGCGCCATCTAATTGCTAGTCTAAGTCCGAGACCGATCTCCTGAAACCCTGAAATAGGTCCAACAAACCATGGGTGTAAGACGAAACAAAACGCCCTCGCCGATTATAACGAAGCTGACTCTGTATCGCTACTGCTCTATAGCCCAAGGCCGTGCAATACATTAATCAGCTGGACCATGCCCGCTGCGACGGCAACTGGGACCTGGTCCCGGAGCTTGTTCGCAAAGTCCGCAAACATGCCCCCGACAGAGCTTGTACGTCATTCTCTGAATAGCTTCATGATAGGCACAAGACTAATACTGTTCAATTAGGTCTCGCACTAACGGCCGAAACCGAATGCGCCATTGCCAAAACGACGGGAGCTGCAGCTCACACTAACACCGAAGGCCGGCCAACAACTGCTATAAACACTGGCGATGTCAACGTTACGGATCAACTACCGAAGCTCGAAGCGGCAATTGACGAGGAAGCCGCCCACGAGAACGACAGATTCCAGGCTGAGGTATGCGCGGGTTGGTTGCACTGGACATTAGGAGACTATAATCTCTGTGTCAGTCGACTGCCCGAGAACAACTTGGAGGAAGGCGAGATCAACCCTGCCGACAGAAGTGCCGAATGGACGAGTGTTTGCTCACTCAAAGCTGCGTATCTCAAAGCTAACTGCCTTGCGCGCAGCGGCGAGTTGAAGCAAGCACTATCTGCCTACCGAGCTGGTCTCCCATCACTTGGACGAGTTTGGGCAGAGCAGGGCATGGGAAGACAGCTTCGCTACTGGTCAGAGCTGTTCCTCACAGAATATTGTATGCTCTCAGGCGAAGCATACCGAAGTAACGAAATCACACAAGTCGACGCTGATTCAATGGCCGGCTATCGAGCATGGGCAAGATTCTGGGATACTATGTCTACTCCTATCACAGGAGGATACGGCTTTAAGGGTTCAGTACCTCGAAGAACGGTATGGAGAGAGTACTACTTTGCCCTCTCATCGATTGTTGATACCGATCAACCTTTTCCTACCGGGTTTGTGAGCAACGCAGCGGGCGACCTTTCACCTCGGAATCAGCTGCGCATAGAGCTCAAGCATGCCGAGGCTACGTACCAGACACTTTTGCTAGGCGAGACATCCTTCCCCAGAGCCGACGAGGAGCGTGAGGAAGTCGAAGCATTTGTCAATCAAGTATTACGAAACTGGTCTATCCTTTGTGGACGAGGATGGAGTGAAAAGGACCTTGGTCAGGGTGGACGAAGCAGCCTGAGCCGTGGTGTTCTTGATATTCTTTACAGTGCAGCCATGAAGACCTACCATTCGACATCTATTCTTCGGTCTCTCTTCCTTGTTCATCTTTCGGTTGCCGAGTTCGATCTCGCTTTCAAGGCCTTCGACTCCTACCTTGAGATTGTCAGAAAGGGCAAGGCTCGTGTTGACAAAACCGGGCTTGTTGAGCCTAGTCTGGACGACGATGCGACCGTTCTTGAAACAATCTCGCAGTGTATTCTGGCCCTTTGTCGATATGGCCAACGACCTGCAGCAGAAAAGGCGCACCAGCTTGGATCCGAGCTCGAAGACTGGTTGGCTAAGTTACCGCAGATCACCTCGCAAGATAACCCCACGCCTGTAATTTCAGAACACAATGAGCTTAGCGCTTCACATCCGGCCGTGGCACCGCATACCATTGCCCTTGCATGGCAAGCTATTGGCTTATCCCAGGCTCATTGGTCAAGAATCACATATGAAGCCTCGGCTAGAACCGAAATTCAACAAAAAGCTATTCGCTGTCTAAGAAAGTCTCTTGCAGCTGAGCTTGGGCGCTCGAAGGATATTAGGAGCTTTTACGCTCTTGGCCTTCTATTGGCTGAGCGAAGAGAGTTGACTGCTGCGATTGAAACTGTCAGAACCGCCTTGACAGCAAGCAAGGATCAGGAAGAGAACTACGATCTGGTATATGGGCCATATTGGCAAGAGCGTTCTCTTATTCCTGTGTGGCATCTACTGGCTCTTCTGCTCAGTGCTAGGCAAGATTATAGCATGGCCGCGAGGGCTTGCGAGGGTGCTTTGGAACAGTTTAAAGATACTTCAGTTCTGTTCGGTAAGGCCGACCAAGCTTATAGAAGCGAGCACCTCAACGATGCGGAAAAAGATACTTCAACAGAAGACAAACATGGCTTAGTCGATGATATGGATGATGATGAAAAGGAGAGCATTCTACAGGTGAAGATGACACAGCTTGCGTTGGTCGAGCTACTTGAAGGCCCAGACGTGGCTGTAAATGCCAGCTTCGAATTGCTGACTCTCTTCTCGAGACTGTTTGGCAACGTTGCAGCCCAACCTACTCTTAACCCCCCCAAGGCTGTGGAACCACCAAAGACTTCTGGCACGCTTAGGAGCATTAGGGGAACCATCTTTGGTGGCCACGATCGATCCAGACCACCTACGAGACAGGCCTATACTGCCGCGGGTGACAGGAACCCCAGACCTCAAACTGCAGCGACCATGCGCAGCAGCGCGCCGACAATTCAGGTTACGGGAGATACTGGATCCTTAGCAGAGTCGCGACCAAGGACGTCAGCATCTTCAGTGCGTCGTAATAGGAGCGCCACGGGTAGAAGTAATAGTCTGAAGAAGCGCGATCGGAGCCATAGCCGACAGCGATCCTCTAGTATTGGTGCTATCTCTTCTGCACATGGACCTACAGTTGTCGATGGAGATGTCTTTTTCACACCAGCTGGTCCAAACGGCGAGGTCGAAGAAAACGAGCAGCAATCGGACTTCTTCACCTACTCAAGTAAACGACACTCCGCAACGAGAGGCTCATCTTTCTCAAGGCGGCCTGTGGGACACCTTAACTCGTATCTCTCAACGCAATCGAAGTCAACTGACTACTCTGAGCTGTCAGTTGACAACGCTTACGCATCCACCTGCATCTTACCACTGGTCCATTTTCCCAAGGATAAGGAGAGGGCTCAACGAGTAGTCCTTCTGATTAGAGTCTGGCTCATGATTGCTGGTTTCTACCGTCGAGCAGGCATGAGGGAGGACGCCAAGGGAGCTATCACAGAAGCACAACGACTCATTCAGAGCCTTGAGGCCGATTTGGCTAGGGATCCATCTGGTTCAGGTGCTCTCAAACCTCCTGGCTGGGCCGAAAAGAAGACTGTGGAGGACCTATGGAGTGATCTATACGCAGAGGTAAGACTTAGCCCCCGCACTGCAAGATATGTGATATATACTAATATTTTTCATAGCTTGGTCAACTATCTCTATCAAAGGGAGCTCCCTATGCAGCTCGTAACGACTTTGAAACCGCCCTCACACATACGCCAAACCATCCTACCGCCATCATCGGCCTTTCTAACATTCTGCTCGATATTTACAGTGAAGATCTCCTCCCACCACCTGCGATTCCGCCTCTGGAGGATGCTTTGCTCAATCTCGACATGGGAAATAGCTCAAAGTCAAATTCAAGCAGCCAAGCAGTCTCCCCCCTACCTTCAACTCCCCTCGGCCTCGGCCCTTCGCCGGAAACCCAATTTACCCCCGAAGAACCCATGGACGACGACGAACTTCCTGCCGCGTACAAGGCCACCCGTCTACCCCTTGTCGACCGTCTCGCTGCTCGTGATCGTGCGTACGCCCTCCTTTCGACACTCACCAAGCTCGGCTCCGGTTGGAACTCATCTGAGGCGTGGTTCACACTCGGCCGCGCCTATGAAGAGAGTGGTCAACCTGAAAAAGCAAAGGAGGTGCTCTGGTGGTGTGTGGAACTTGAAGAGGGAACTGGTGTTCGGGACTGGCGCTGCTTGACTGGAGGAGGTTACATTATTTAATGAGCCTTTTGGAGTTCAGACAACATCCATTAGGACTTCTTGAAAGGAGGAAACTACCAATGGTCTATGTTGCTCATTTTTTCAGCAGTTGATACTTGGTTCCATGGAGTGGCACTGCGCTTATAACTCTTCTTTTCTCTTCGATACAACACTCTGATAATTTACTTTGTGGACCTTGTGCGGAAACTCATCAGACACTACCTCATAGACTTTTGACAAGATCTTGTAATTCTAGGATTCAGGGAGCTATTTTTAAGCATAATCAAATCACAAACTTCGGCCCGGTCGGTGAGAATCCTATGCTCCCTACTCGAGAATTCTGGGTAATAGTGTTCAGGGGCTGGTTGTACTATGAATATGCTCCTTGGTTAACACTGACAATTGATTCAGTATATCGCTATGTAACATGTATCGCTGTTTGATTTAAAAACTGTTTGCTGACAGAGAGAACAGCTCAAGCTAAGTAGAATACTTTTGCTTTTTTGACGTTTCACTTTCTCTTCGCTTCCCTTGATATGTCCTCCCAACTTTCCTTCCTTCTGCGCGCCCTTCAAGCTCTAAGGCCTGACGTAGTTCATGAAAGCAAGGATGATGAGAAGAAGTGACAGTAGGTACTCGCTGAATGAGAGACGGCACGGGAAGGGTGATGGCTGCTGAACGACAGATCATGCTTGGGCAGAGGCAGAGGCAGAGGACTGTTGTGCGGAAGACGGTTGCTGGACCGAACATGATCTGCACTGTGGGTTGATGCGAAGCTCTTGTATGACGATGACGATGCCGTTTCCTATGTGAACAATCCGGCCTCCAGTTGGCAAAGTGACCCTGTCTTGTCCCGTTTGCTGATATGAGCCATTACTGGTACCAATAGGTTGAAGTGACTCGCCGAAAGTGTCCGAGCTGTTATCGCTTTCTTCGTCGTCATTGTTCTCGTCGGTTTTCCGCATGAGGTTGCGTGAACAATTTAGTATAGCCCTCAAAATGTCACGCAATCTCTGCACGTGGGCCGTCAGACAGCCTATTTGTTCTGGCCAGGTAGTTGTTGGTGGTAGCTCAGAAAGTCCAAATTGCGCAACAGGCTCTGGATACTCTTCAGCACGGATAGCATTTGCATTGGGGACATCGTTGACACTTTGAGCACCATTAATCTGGGGTGAATCGTCTTTTGTATGCCACTCGCTGACACTATTGTCCGGAAGGCCTCCAGAGTGAATGGAAAGCAAATCCTGGGCCATTGTGGAAGTATTATCTGTTGTGAGAGGAAGTGAAGTTTGACGAACGTTACTTGAGACCTGCAACGATGAAGATATCGTTAAGGAAGGACAGTGAAGAGAATGCAATAATAGAATCAGAATTAGACGGTAGTATCTGTGAAGCTGTTGATGTAAAAGGAAGGCCGGGGGTCAGGAGGAGACATTCCCGTATAGATAGGTAGATACCTACTCTAGGTACTTGCCCCTTTCATAGATTCGAATTATCACACAGTACTACTTGCCTCGTTACCTGTGAAGATTTAACGACTGAGGAAAGTAGAATCACCAAAGTTCATCAGATCAGGAAAGTGATATCAGGTCCTCATTCTCATGACAGTTCCGCATTAGACGAGATACTAACAGTCAGGGGATCCTTTATCATATGAACACTTCTATGACTATCAGCCAAGGGTCGAGGTATTCTGAGAAATATTAAACAATGCCATCACGAGTGGTTAGTCAGTCAGAATATAGAAACCATGTACTTATGTAGAAGTGTATTTATTTCATCCTTGTCCAAGCCTATCTACGCCCTCGTCCTCCCCCAACAGCTATCCACATTCCGCAAGACCCAACCGCCCAAATGAAATAACTAGAAAAAAGGGGGGAATATTTGTTTTGAATGCGAATGACAAAGAAGATGATTCTTTTTAGCTCTAATATGTTTGTCCGCAAAACTCCCTGAACATGCGCCGTGAGGCTCCCATCCATCCATACATCCACCCTTGTCTCCAATCGTCATCATCATGAGTTCAACCTCACCATGCATGCTTTCCAGACATGGCATCTCCTTCAAATTGTAATCATATTTTCTCCTTCAGTATCTACTGTCGGGACTTCAGTAGGTTGTGCAGGTAGGAAGCAAACTGCCTCTTGTCCGTCGACGTCGTAAGAGATCGTAAAAAGTCATCACCGTTGACCCCAAGGCTAGGGAAGATGTTGTTTTGGAGTTCTTGGATAAAAGACTCGCCTGTCTTGGTGTAGATGGTCTGCTCTAGACCAGCAATCTCAGTGAGAATTTGCTTAGTCTGAGCATCCTGGTAAGGCCGGAAGTTGGGGTTCTTCATAACCTCCCAGCAAGTCGAGTGGAACCTTTGAATCATGAAATGGTCAAAGCCGGGGAATGCAGGGTTGGGGCTGCCAGAAGGAGCCGTTGGGTTCTGCGAGATAGTGGCAACATCAGGTCCTCCCCATATAGCTGCCATTCTTGTCATCAGAGTGAAAGCCAGACGACTACCTCCGATGTTACCTTCGAGGGTTTTGGCGAGCTCAATAATGGAAGAAATCATGGGCTCAAAGAAGCCCTGGTTAGATTCACTGACAAGAACACCATCCAATCCATTGTTTAGAATGATCTGGAGAAAAGAGAGGTATTCTCTCCTCAACTCAGCCAACTGAATCTCATCATCGGTACCAGCAATGGGCTCCGTAAGCCCACCAAAGATACGTTGAAGCAGAGGCGTCAAAAGCATGTTCAGGACCTCGTATATCTCAGCCTTGAAGCCAAACACCACTTGATCTAGTAGACGCAGAAACATGGCCATCTCGTCCTTGGACGAGCTCTGGGACAGAAGGCCCTCAATCCACTGAGGCAACTGGGGCAGCACAGCAGCACCAAGGACACCCAACAGTTTGGAAAATGCTGAGCGGCAAGCAGTTCGGATCTCAGAAGACGAGTTCAGCTGGTTGAGGGCAATGAGAATAGCTTCAGCTGCGCGAGAGAACTCGTCAGAGACGGCTTTGTCAGGGGGTCCATGTGCGTTGGCGGAAGTGATACCCGGAGTCCAGTCAGAGAATCCGTGGGCCAATGTACCCAAGGCCATAACGATATGGTGGACTTGAAGAGTGGCCTGCGCATCTCCAGACTTGGCTCGTGGTAGGTGTCCTTCCATATCGGTAAACAGGGGGTCCATAACGGATCGGGCGTACAAGGCCTGCTTGTCAGCAGGTGTACTTTGGGTCGAGGAAATACAGCCAATAGCTTCGAAAAGGTACAGTTGGCTGGTAAAGAGAGCATCCGCGGAGTGGTCAGACTCGTCTGAAGACATGTCGTCGTCGGCATCATCACCAGGGACCTCAGCTTTGATAGGCAAAAGATCTCCGATTGACTGGATGACTGTCTCTGCAACGTTGCCAACTTGCGCACGTAGCTGCTTGATGAAGCGGTGGAACAAGTACCACGATCGTGTTTTTATGCGAACGTGGTCGTGATGAACCAGTCGCACAAAGTTCTCTAGAACTTGAGGGATGTACTGTGAGAGATGGTTTTCGAAAACAACACAATATCTCACGCAAATCTCCATATATTGCAGGAGGATGGCGGGATGAGAGAAGTTGGCAATACCTACACCGGTTAGAGTCACCACATTGTAGTTGGTTTACGGGAGCACTCACCAGATTCAACCATCTTCTGCATCATAACCACTAACCTCTCCGAGGCCTCAGTAGAAGGCTGGTTTTTGGTGCCCAGTCCTTGGTTGGGAAGTGCAAGCTCGCCAAAGAGGTACATCTCATACAGTGCAAGATCAAGATCTCGCCAGTCCATTTGCGAGCCCTGCTGGTCAAGAGTTTGGAAAGTAGTGGCAACCAAGTTGCTGAGCATGTCCATGTACAAAGGCTGGTCAATGGCCGCAATTGACTTTTGCAGGTTCTGTAGCTTGCGACGTAGCTCTTGAAATTCAGCTTCATCGGTGAGCTCATCTTCATCACCCCAGTTGGTAGTCTCATCGTATCTCATCTTGTGGATGATGGCGTCTAGGATTGGCGCAAGCATACCGCCGTAGTCTTGGTGAACAACAGTGAGTTTACGAAGGAAAGTGAGCAGGTCTGTCAGGGCGGGAATGACAGACGAGCAGACCTCATCATATTCGTCAGAGAAGAAGCGCAGAAGGAAAGGGAGGAACCCTTGGAGGTGCTGGTTAGCTCTAGCGCGAGTGTCATCACTGATCCGGTTGTCCTCGAGGGCCCGTACGATATCGGAGAGTACGGTGTTAACTAACTTGGCAACTGCTTCGGCCAGGTCCGTATCGTAACGAGAGGTTCCCTTGTACTTGCTCAAAGGGGGGCTAGCAACTAATTCTTCAACAATCTCCCTCAGGTTAATGAAGGAGATCATCTCCATCTTGTCTGCCGAACGCATCTTCTTGCCACATATCTCATTCAAGGTATCAATGGCGGTGTCGCGGACCTTGTCTTGCACATCAGTGCTTGGTCGACCGACTACCGGCAGCAGCAGCCCGAGCATGTCCTGGCTGATAACCAAGGAGATGTCCATCCAGCTAACCCACTTGCCCAGGACTTTGAGAACAAGCTCTACGACGGTATCGTTGGTCGAGTATCGTGTTAGGAGCTGCTTCCACGACTCAGACACCTTGTGCATATCCTGAGCTCGAAGCTGGTCCTTGAGCTCGGTATTTCGCTTGGCCTCGTTGCTCTGCCGCGACAGAAGCATATCGGCGATCTCGTCGTGGATAGATCCCAGAGTCCGAAGATAGAAAACGACGCCGGGGACATTGTCGGTGTTTGTAGAGAGACCCGTCAACTCAAGTTGGTCGTCGAGGAAGCTCTGCCATCCGTCTTGGTAAAGAAAGACAAACAAGTACGTCAATGTTTGTGTGAGTTTGTTCTGGAGGTGATAAGGGTCGGCTTCTTGTTGGGCGTTAGGACCGTATGTTTGGCGGCAGTATTGGAGAAGGGTGTCTTTGAGGAAAGCCAGGCTTGCCTGGTCAAGACCTTGAGTGTGCACCGCATAGTTGACCACTTCAAGACAGACCATGCGCACGACTTCTGATGTTTGTGGGGTTCGAGCGAAGAGGGTAGTGCAAGCTTGCCATCCTGAAGGATCGCTTCGTAGTTGGTTTAGGTATTCGAAAGCTTGTTCTTTGAGAGATTGATCGGAGGTGGGGTTCGAGAGGATCCCGACGGCATTCTCGACCTGAGCCATTGGGATTAGAGTTAGCAAAGAGACGATATCATGTACTCATGAGCTTCAGATAACAACCAAACCGTCGGGTCGGGCCCTGAGAATGTGGACATTGGGCCGATGCGGCTTGGCCATCCAAAAGTGACGGCTGAAATGGCGGGGCACGAGAGCACCCCAGCGAGCGTCATGGGACAAAGACGAAGGTGATGGAAGAACAACGCATCAACTCACCTGAGCTTCCATGATCAAGATTCAGGTTGTGGCAAACACTAGAGTAAGACGTATTTCAAGTATGGACGATGCTGCTATAACTCCGGCAGCCTTAGATACACAGCATCCAGCATAGTTATGATAGAAAATAAATGGACAAGTTGAACAAGGCTACCGAGGGGTCATGCCTAAACGTGGTTGGTATTGAAAGCTGGGGGAAAAGAGCCTGTGCAACAGGCAGGGGTACAGCTGATGGATCTGGAGCTATCCCAATGGCAGTAGCTTCAAAAAGAGCCGAAATGTGCACAAAAACAGGCGATTTGAGACGTTGATGCTGATTTTGGATTGGATAGCGTGTGAAGACTGCTTTTTTATCGAGACGTGCTATTTCTAAAAGTCGGTGCGCTGAACTTCTTGGCCGATGTGGGGTAACTCTTTCGGCACATGTTCGGTAAAAGGGCCACTTATCCCTGTCATCCCCAAAAGTTCTTCTCCAATCCACTAAACGCTTTCAACTATCTCTGCTCGATGTCTACCACGCCGACACAACTCTCACCTTTAAAGGCATCTAAAGTGCGCGCAGAAGTCCCTTACGTTCTCACTCCTCTGCGACAACGCCGTACACGCCCGTCGTTCTCGCCGATCAAGACACCTCGAGAGAGGTCGACACAAACCCACAAACCATCGCTAAGCTTCACCTTCGGCCAGGGTGAACAGGTCTCTACATCTCCCCTTGCGTCTGCCGCGACAGCAGCACTGGAATTTGAAGATTTCAATTTCTGGGACAGCGAGGGGTTTCTGACTGGTAGAGATGTCACTGATGACCAGCGTGCTGCTCTCCATGAGCTCCTGAAGGAAAAATACAATGCAACAGAGTTTCTTGAGTCATTCCCTTTTCTCATCATTGGATGCCAAGGTGGTCCACCAGACGAGGATAATCGACCATTTTCAGTAGCTGGAGCTATTGCCATCTGGAGAGATGCCAAAGAATTCAACTTCAATCCCCTTGTCGGAGACCTTGGGCAAGGCGACCACATTGAAGTTAGCGATGCTATTCTAGACCAGATCGTCCCTCTTCAAGTACCTTCAAAGGATATCATTCTTCATCTTGCTAATCTCTGGCCTGAGTGTCAAGCAATCTGTATCTTATGGACGATGCTTGTCGTTGAGCTGCCTCTTGTCAGTAAAGAGGAGCATTTTAATCGACTACAAAGCCTTCCCTGCGATATCGACGGTTGCTTCCTTATCCTCAGGTTTAATAATGGGCCGTTGCCGAACTCGGAGAGGAAAAGGGCTCGAGAAGTAAAGCCCAACCCCAAGATGTATGAGAACCAGATCTGTGATGAGACCGATTATGTGAGCTTGGACAAGAAGTTTTACCCAGGAACTATGATCGGCTCGACCGATCAGCATGGGAGTCTCTACTCGGCGGTGACAGCTGGTATTCTAGTCGAGAAGGAGGGTGAAAGGCGTCTTACCTGCTCTTTTCATTGTTGGCAGAAGCATTACGAAAAGTACCCAGAACAATTTGGCAATTCCGATGCTACAGCAACGTCGACCTTTGAGGTCTTGCAGGGTAGCAATCCAGGCACTACAGTTGGATTTGTCCGAGAACGAGTTGGTGAAAGCGACATCGCCTTGGCTCAGCTACACGATGGTGTCGTATTTGAGAACAAGTTCATGGAGATCGAAGCAGCACCCAAGAAGTTTCTCAAGTCCGCTGATCACAATGTTGGTGATCTTTTCCTTTTCGATTCATTCGCCGTAGGAACGCAAACTGTATCCTGCCTTGGACGACGATTTACTACCGGCTGGAAGGAGGACAAGCCTCACCCTGACCTTGTCGCGCCAGAAGGGCCAGCCGATGGGGTCAAGTACATTGCTTTTGAGCAAGGCGCTTTTGTCACAAACGCGCCCGAAATCACCAAGAAGCCCCAAATCCGTGATAGTGTCTGCGGTTCTGTGCTTCTACGATGTCGCAACAAGTCTCTGGGTCACAAAAGGCGTCAGACTCGACAGCAGACAGCAGAAGATGGTGAAGTCGGTAGCATGCTGCATCTAGCCGATCTTCAGTTCAGGAACAGCGACGACCAAATCGACAGATTCATCCTGTATGCTGACTCATTTGATCCTTTGATTGAAGCTGGATGGACGATCGTTCAGGAAGATGGTAATGGGGGTGAGGATACGGAGGCTGTTGAGCAAGCTATGGAAGAAGACTCACCATCGAAGAAGCGAAAGACTCGAAGCAGTTTCGACTAGAGATTGCGCTACCAAGCGACTGTGGTGTTTGTTGATACGCGGGCTCTCGCTGCAACTAACGATTCGTTGCCAAGCTTCCATGACAGGCGGCATGATCGTCAGGAGGAGGCGGCAAGCCACTACCGGCCGGGGCATTGGCTCACAATCAGCCAACACCCAACCAAGGAGAAGCAGGGGCCCAGCAGGGGTGCTGTAGTGGTTTTAAGGTGGATGTTGATGTTGGCTTTGTTACGCAAGCAGAGAGCATAGCTGCTACAGCATATCGAACAGGAATAGAAGCATCTCTAGCTGTGATTATAATCGACGATCGAATACGGACAGTCCGATTAAATCGTCGATGGTGGACCTTTAGAAAAGCGAGCCGCGTAAGCTGCCAATATTGTGGTTCTTTGTTTCAAATCAATTCGACGTCATGGGCTTGAAAAGTTGCTTTTTGATCAACACCAGTGAACTGTCTAGCTGCTGATGGTGTGACAAGGGACGAGCATCGCGGGAATAAGCATCCATCCAAGGCCCAAGATTGGACGAGATTGAATTTGCGCTTGTGAGTTAAATGACCATAGCGACATCATCCATGCTTCTTGAGCTTTGAGGCCTCTTTACAGTTCAATGTTACAATATGAGATCACCGTCACCGCCTCGAAAATATCTTCTTGAGAGGCTGAGATCAAAGGCCTTCACCGACACAACTCCGTAGTCTTCAATCTTGTTTTTGTCTCACATTTTCGTATTTACAATTAACATTAATCTCTCCAGCTCGATCCCAGTGAAGTAACCGAGATATGTCTTTTAAAGGGCTGCAATTCGGGGTCTATCGCTGTCCAGTTCTTCCAGAATTAGAACATTTGATCTCGGTTCTGGTTATATTGTGATGTGACACTTTCGGCCCTCCTTCATATCCACATAGTTGATAAACCTAGCTCACGGATCTGGTGATAAACGTCAGCTGGTGTTTCTATCTTGGGGATTGCTTGTTCAACATAGCCTTCCGATAGCCTCAGCTTAATCTGCAAGTACGCAATAGTCTAATCAATGCCACGTTTTCCGAAGAGATGAGATGCTCATGACATCCATTTCTGGGGCGGAATTCGAAGGGTGTTTGCAGTACTCTGTGGGTTCCTGCATTAGAGTGGTGCTGGGAACCCTGTCTCACGGAGCGTTTAGTGTTGTATCAGATTTTGTGCAAGGAAGATGAAGCCAATCAAGTGAATCATGCAAGCCCTGGATAAAGTCACAATGGCGCAGTGCTGATCCAAGATGCATTCTAGAATTCATTGGTTATTACAACTTGTGCTGTGAGACATTATGTTCCGTCTTTTCATGTAGAACCAACATGCTCAAGCAAGTCAAGGCTGCTCTGAGAGAACGTTGCAGCAATAGAACACAAGAAATGGTCTTCAAGATAATATCGAATCCTCTATATGCCGCATACCAGGTTGCACATAAGGCGAAACAAGACATGTCTTGGCCTTCTATCAAGGGTCTAGAAAAGAATGGACAAGCCCCAGCCCAGCGTTTATGCAAACATTTTTATTGAGGCAAGGGTGCACAAAGGCTTCTGAGCCCCTGCATAAAAGGGATATACGCTTGCACAAGTCCTTGTATTTTAGCGGTCGGCCTCCAAAGAGCAGGCGGGCAGGGAGACTACAGGCTACCTACCGCATTAGGTAGTAACGCAGCACCAACTTCCGCCGGGGCCAGTTACCTTACATCTAATCCAGGGAATAGATCACACCCTGGTTTCGCCTTTCATCAACTATCCCTGATCAACATGCACCAAGCATCGATCCTCATATGCCGCGTTCTAAGGTGAGGCCGACTAGACACAGTGGAAGGACACTCGAAAAACACAGTGTTCCTGGTATTGCTTCGACAACGATTAAGATTCTTCATGCGTTGTAGAGCCTCATCGGGCTGTCATGCAACAGATTAACAAGCTTATATAACCTGTACCAAACTTCGACAAACTGTTCGCTAGACTTGGCGCCGCAGAAGGACCCCCCCCCTTCTCTTTCAAAGAGCCACTCAGAAGGCAAAAAAGGCCTGTCGATCGATGGGTGCGGCGGAATCCACTTTAGACGACCGAGATGAACAGAGGGTGAAAGGGCGGCGTTCGAATGGTCCACACCTTGTTTCCGACCAGCAGTTGGCCACTGGTATTTCGGGGTTGATACCAGAAACTATACGCTCTTCCCAAAACGGTCTGATCTCGGAGCATCTTTGTTTCTCAGATAGAAATTCCCTTCAGAGTTGGAGGAAAGCCTCACCACGGCTGTTGATGTAAAGGCTGAACTCGGCGGTCCGACACCACAGTACGAAAATGCATTGGCGACATCTACCGTGCTCCTAGTCATGGACCACTGTCCATGACCCAGATTTGATGGTGATCCAACAACCATCTTTCAAGGATGATATGGGTCTCGGATCCACGGACCACAGAAACGTCCATGGGTAGTCGACCGGCTTTGAAAGACTGGGGCAGCGACATGGCCTCCCCCAGCTTTGATGGACCGTCTGCTAGGGCCGCACACTTCATCCCATGTTTGTTGCCTTTACTGGAACCCCCTTGGGTCCAGAATGGTTGACCTCCTGGATGATATGGTACGTAATCTCCGTATAGGAGTTGATGCTCTCTGTGTGGATGGACATCGGTATTAATATGCGACCATCCTGCGACCTCAAACTCGACTTCTCTTCCCTTTCTTCTTCAGCCCAATAAGCCACTTCTAAGCTGCCAGTTTCAGAAACTTTTGACCTCGGTCGTCCATTCTTTCACCACTTTCGATATATCAACCTATTTTTGAGCTTGTAGCTTCAGCCTTTCATTACCAACTTTCAACCAATTCATCAAGATGCGTTACTCTACTGCCGCCGCCGCTCTCCTGGCCTCTGGTGCCATGGCCACCGAGGTCTCCAAGGTCTACGAGACCAAGCGAGTTACCATCACCTCTTGCGGTCCTGAGGTCACCAACTGCCCTGCTCGATCTACTGTCACCAGCAACACCGTTTACCCTGTTCCTCCCCAGGTCACCTCTGCCGAGCAGGGCAGCGAGACCACCGAGGAGGTCCCTGAGGTTCCTGAGACCACTGAAGCTCCTGAGCTTCCCTTGACCACCTCTACCATCTACTCTACCAACATCAGGACTATCACCTCTTGCGGTCCCGAGGTTCCTGACTGCCCCGCCCGATCTGGTACTCCTGTCGTTGTCACCGAGACCATTGCTGTCTCCACCACCATCTGCCCTGTTGAGCCTACCGGTGGTAGCGAGAAGCCCGGCCAGCCTGAGAAGCCCGAACAACCTGGAAAGCCTGAGCAGCCTGAGAAGCCCAGCCAGCCCGGTTACGAGCAGCCTCCCGCTCCTCCTGCTGAGACCAAGCCCGTTGAGACTCAGCCCGGCTATGAGCAGCCTCCCGCTCCTCCTGCTGAGACCAAGCCCGTTGAGACTCAGCCCGGCTACGAGCAGCCTCCTGCCCCTCCTGCCGAGACCAAGCCCGCTCAGCCTGAGCACCCCGGCAAGCCTGGCAAGCCCGTTGTCCCCGGACAGCCCCAGAACCCCGGTAACGGCACCATCCCTCACCCTCCCGTCTACCCCAACCCTCCCGCTACTCAGAGTGGTGAGAAGCCCGTTGTTCCTCCCACTCCTGTCCCCGTCCCCGGCAACCCTGAGCAGTGCGTTCCCTCTCAGTCTGTAACCGCCATCACCAAGGAGTACACCACTGTCCTCACCAGCGTTGAGTACTCTACCATCCAGGTTCCTTGCCCTACTGGCACCACTCCCGGCAACCCTGGAAACCCCGGCAACCCTGGCCAGCCTGAGGCTCCTACTGGACCTGCTGTCCCTCCTCCTGCCAACACCCCCATTGGCGGTGGTAACCAGACGTGAGTATTCCGAATAACCCGACTTATGAACAGTTTACTGACTATTTTTCAGTGTTCCTACTCCTCCTGCCGTTACTGCTGGCGCTGCTACCTTCGCCGGCTCTGCTTTCTTCGCTGCCGTCGCTGGTCTCGCCGCTTTCATCCTGGTCTAAAACTATTCCCCTTTCTCTTAGCATCTGTTGAAGCCTGCAGGCTATGGCAACTTATGAACTCTTTTGTGTTTAATGGTCTTGCTGGAATGTATAGTACTCGAGTAGACTTTTGAATACATTGCTATTTTGGCTTATTTCTATGTATATATATCTGATCCGCAGTCTGGGATATGCGATTGGAACTTATTTGCTATTGTTTAATTCTGACATGATATCCCCTGTATGTCTCGCTTTCTGTGTGAATTATGTTATTCAAGTTGCTCACAGCTCATGTAAACCCCTCAGATGAATGTCGTTACAACTGGGGCGGGCAATAGATGACGCCAAGGAGTCTTGTCAAGCCACCCGATTGCAGACACCTGGCAAATCTGGGGTGAAGGGTTCGCCAATGCATATGCTCCACCCATCTCATTTCCCAACCTTGACCACTTGGGATCTGAAGCACCGGCGTCGATTGTCCAAATAGGAACACGCAAATTGCCAAATGTCGCTTCAGGGAACTCGTCTTCAATGCATCTCGATCGAACAGGAAGATCGCTCGGTCTAGATTTTGCGTAACATGTGATTTAGGTCAGATGGTTACTTGACATGGATTCTTAAAGGGCAAATCATTTCATTTACCATGAGGTGAGTTTATGCTGGTGTCTGCTGACTTGGATCTGGGATTAGGCTCTGGACGATATGGCTAGGTTGGTGCGATAGAGGTTTGTTTAGATGGATGGTTCAGTTGGGCATACTAGCAAGACAATGATGCCATTTGGTGTGTGCGTTAGTATGCAGTCTTTACTAAAAGTTTAATGAATTGTTACCTATCACTTGGACAAAATGGTACTTAGGGTATCAATCTCATGAGCATTACTAGCATGGTAAGTGTTCTCTACAGCATCACGAGAAGAGACTCGTTGACAACTGATACTACCCTGTACCCCAACTCATGAGTTTCGGTCGGGTACTACTTCTTCTATTACCTATAAAAACAATTATAGATAGTTTCATCCAGTCTGTCATTATTTATACCTTTATGGTAGGTCGTTTTATTAATAGCGATAACGGTCGGTCCATTTCTCCCGAGCATAATGTCTTCCACATGCCAACGCTGCACTAGAGAGAACAATCTATAAAGCTCTTCTGAGTCTGGTGGTACCAATGAATCAAATCTAGGAAGGAATAAATATCAAGAAGGAAGAACTGAGTTTGAGAAGTTAAAGCTACGCTATCCTCCCCTCTTGTCTCAGGGTCAACAGAGTGTTCGTGACAGCTGGCAGCCACAGTATCCGGTCTTGTTATTGAAGGATAGAGGATGCAGATAACAACTTATGGACAAGACCGTATTTAGGTGAAAAAGGCTAGAGGTTCTTTAAGGATATCATTCGGTGACATCAAAAAGTGCCATCATACCATACATGGCTTCTCAGAGTGTTACCCCAGCTCCTCCATTGGATTATCTGACCGATTGCTGTATGTGAACCCAAGAACTCGGATGAAAGCCTTTCAGAATGCTCTTGTGTAGGCACTTGTCCGTTAATTACACATTATTTCATACCTTGTTATATGCCCATAGGGCTAGTCATGGCATGCTCTACTTCTGAAAAGCACCTTAATGAGCATCTACTATCAGCACTTACAGGTGATGGCCCAGATGTGCTGTACCAACTCCGTGAGTACCTTGCCTTACCTTGGTTCAACTTCTTTGTCCTAATCAGGCAAGACGGGAGTCTCCGACTGAATGAAGCCAACCTACTAATTCCCCGCATAAGAATGGATGTCTCTGATTTCTTGGAGAAGTAGGGGAAATCTAACGCCACATCAAAAGTACGTACTGCAGACACAACATCCATTCATTTGAGAGGAATTTAGAGATAGTGTTTAAGATAAGGGCGTGAATGTACTCACGATAGACTGGAATATTATTTTTTCGTGATATGCTTTGTGTTTGATCATAATGTACTGATGATAAGGGGATGAATACTTGTCAAGTTTCTCGTCTTGATTCGTTGATTCGTGAGAAGGATTAGAGTGTGCAAGAGCAAGCGAAGGAACCACTCTGTACGTAGCCTCGGTCCTGCTTTGATGATGGGTGTCGAATAGAGAGCCTTGGAATGTCTGACTACATCGTTGACGTCCGTCTCGTCATGGTGAGATCTGACTTTGACATTTACTGTGGGCCAAGTCACGATGCGTTCAATGTGCTCTGCGTGCGGTTGACGAATGCCACAGTATGACCTGCCACAAAGTTAAGATAAAACTTTACGCAAAGGATAAAGAGCGGCCAGAGGCTGCGCAAATCCTCTCAAAGATATTTAAGAATACGACTTCCCCGGCCTCGATTCGTTCTATCTTTTTCGACATTCATCTTCTCTGATACGCTCGTTCTGCAAACGCTCGATACCTTCTTACCCATCCGTATACCTTATAAAGTATACACCTACGACTTCAGAATGTCTTCCGGTGAAATCACTGTCGTTGAAGAAGCCAAGGATTCCAACTCTACGAAGGAGAAAAGATCCGACCTTGGCACGAGTAATTCGAACTGGTCCACCAGGAACAATAGCCACGTCGAAGATGCAGTCTTTGGCCATGTTGGCGACAAAGGCCCCAACTACCGCAGCGTGTGTAGCCCTATCTGCCATAACCGGTGGCGCTAATGGATGCATAGCTTTCATGGATAGGTACCATCGCCCTCATGACCAAAACCCAAGTCGGTCTCGGTGTCCTCGCTATCCCCAGAACGTTTCATGTTCTCGGCCTTATCCCCGGCGTCTTTTGCCTCGTAGCGATCGGCGGTATGACAGCTTGGTCGAACTACATGGTTGGTGCTTTCAAGCTCAACCACCCAGAAGTGTATACCATAGATGATGCTGGGGGCAAGATGTTTGGCAGGGTTGGTCGCGAAATCTTTGCTGTGATCTTTATGCTGAGTAAACATCTCTCTCCACCATATCAAGGCTACTACTAACGTCTCGTAGACTGGGTCTTCATCTCTGCATCAGCCATGCTGGGTATCTCGGTTGGCTTCAATGCTGTATCAACACATGCCCTCTGCACCTATGTCTTCGTCATTATCGCCGCCATCATCACGTTTCTCCTAGCCAGTATCCGAACCCTGAGCAAGATAGGATGGATTGCATGGGTTGGTATTGTCTGCATCATGACCGCCATCTTCTCTGTTACCATTGCCGTCGGCGTCGAGAGTAAGATTCCTGCAGCTAAGGCGGGAAACTCTACCTTCAAGCTCACCAACAACCCTTCCTTTTCCGAGGCCATGGCAGCACTCTCCAGCCACGTCTTCGCCTATGCCGGCACGCCCGCCTACTTTTCCATCATTGCCGAGATGCGCGACCCGACGCTTTACACATCAGCACTTATCTGGTCGCAGAGTATTATTACTGCTGTCTACGTTGTGATTGGTGTTGTTATATACTACTACGTCGGTTCTAATGTTGCATCTCCTGCTTTGGGTTCTGCCGGCCCCATCATGAAGAGGGTCGGCTTTGGATTTGCTCTGCCAGGCCTTTTTGTAAGTGCCATGATTGTCACTCATGTAAGTTTCCCAAAACCCAACATCTCGTCACTCGGTCATTACTAACAACAACCATAGGTTCCAGCCAAGTACATATTCCTTCGTATCCTCCGCGGCTCTGAGCACCTCCACCGCAACAGTTTAACTCATTGGGGTACTTGGCTTGGCTGCACTGGCGGCACCACTGTTATCGCCTACATCATTGCCAGCGCTATTCCCCAATTTGACCCTCTCGTGTCATTGGTTGGTGCATCTTTCGGCGTTTTCCTCTGCTTTCAGCCCTTCGGATGTATGTGGCTGTACGACAACTGGGGACGCAAAGAGCGTGGCCTCAGGTGGAAAGGCATGTTCGCCTGGAGCATCTTCATCATTATTATCGGCACCTTCCTCATGATCGGCGGTACATATGGCTCTGCTGAAGGCATCAGCATTGCCAGGAAGACGCCATCTGGTTCCCCTTGGACTTGCGCCGATAATTCTAACCCGGCGCCCAAGAACTTGACATCCAGTAACTCTACAACCACTAGCTAAGCATGGCTGGCTCCTTTTATACTCCAGATAGTTGAGTATGAATGATTCTCTTTTCCCTTTTTCTGACTTGATAGTATACATCACAAGATATCCCGTACGCGTATCGTTTAGAGGAAACTCTGATAATCATAGTCAAGTGAGCAGTACACAGATAAAATCTCACCTGTCAAACTTTTGTTCCATGGCAAAGATGTGACTTGTGATACAGACAGGCTTTCTCCGCAGTAAACTTCATTTTTACAGATTGGCTGCATTTGAGTTTTGTGGTTGTGTAAAAGTGACTTTATTTTCATCTAAATTTAAGCTTAGATGCTAATGGCCAATCATGTTTTCTCCGGCACTTGATGCCACTTGGCAGGGATGCACCGATCATTTGGTGCTAGATTCCCGAATAGGCATCTCAAGATCTACTAGGGTTCAGCCAAGACCTTGGCATAACGACATGGATATTTGCACTCTTGATCATATTTAATGCTTTGTATAAGAGTTGAACCCACAACGTTATCGGAGTTCACTATTGGAGCCCATTGGAGACTCCTGATGGGGAAAATAGAAGGCAGAAGTCCCTTTGGTGTTTGGACGTTATTAGAGGAGATTTTGAAGCTGGCGAACGGACATCATTATTTTCGGCTATCATGATGGCAGAAGATCAAGCCCGAAAACTTAGTTTCTATCACGAGTCCAAAGTGCAGGACCGTGATGTTTTGACGATAAGCCTCTCCGCGAGCGATATCCGTATCGCCATGGTTACGGATCTCGGTGAGAGCCGTGTTGCTGAGGCTGCTCTTGGAAATTAGTCCAGGTGAATTTACGCTGTGTTTCGTCGTGGTTAGGATTGCTATCCCAGCTGAAGCTAGTATAAGAGCCTTAGGGGAATGGAGAATATTTGCGACATCCGACAGATCTCGTGGCGGCTTGTAGAGGTTAGGGAATATCCCCACAGGGGAAGGCTTAAGATACGAGAACGTTGTACGAGATCGGGCCGAGCATTAGTCATAGCCGATAGAGTTGGAGATATTATATAGGGCTTTTATGTTTCTATTTAACTTGCATTGGCTCCAGGGTCTTGCGCCAGTAACCTTCCACTCATAATGCCTTGTTAGGAGAAATGGCAGTGTGACATTGCATTTGGAGAAACTTGATGGGCTTTTGGGGGGGGGGGGGGGGGGGGGAACTGCCTGTTTGGAAATTCGATCGAGGGACGTAAAGGTACTCGGGCTCTAACGCTCAGATTTTGCTTCATTATCAGTCAGAGGTTCTTTTCTTCATGGTTGTAAGGCTGATAGGTTGGGCTGATTGAAGCTGCGAAGACTGCTCCAGCGTTGGGTCAGCTCTTATATGGGACTATTGAGTAGATGAGTTCTGTATATATGAGATAGATCCAATAGGCTCTTTGCGCAGATCTGAGTATTGGCAGAAGAGGTGTCTTTAGTTGCGGTGAATTTGTCTGTTTGACACTACAGAGGACATGTTTTCAGCGAACTTGGGAGTAACAGGACTCCAAGAGTATTCACTGCGATGACAAGAAACGGATAAGTCTCATTGAAGAATGTGATTAGGTAAGGAACGTTCATACAGAAGTATGAGGCTCTGTCTGCACTCGGATCGGAGCTCTAATCCACCGGTACGGACACGGAGTCGGACTAAGTGACACCCATCTTACTCGGTACGGAACACAGTCATACAAACCAACAAGGAAGAACTAGTAAATGAAAAACTTTACTAGTAAGACAGTTCCTCTACCAATGAATTAAGCCTCGTCACATTTTTAAGCTTCGTGTTCAAGAATCTGACCAGTTCAAACCGCGTGGCCCGTACCACGTAAGGTAAGAATGCGGAGAGAAGACATCTTACGATAAATATTTGTGATTGTCTGTCTTATTGTGAAGAGATTGGGCTGGACTACGAATCATTACGCGTACACGTGTTGAAATCAGCGAGGTTTAAATTTCTGGAGTGGATGGTAAGATAATAGTTTGGTGGGTTATGGATTATGGGCTGGCGGTTAGATAGCTGTTTCAACCTGCACTCCTGTAGAGATGTTGCAGAGACGAGGTGCTGTTTCAAGGACCAATTTCCTGGAAATTACAATGCAGAGCTTGCAGAGCTGAATATGCAATGTGCGCTTCGTACATAAGGCACATATGTCAGCAGAAGCAGGAGAGTCTACAGTGTTGAGGTGATGGCTCCGGCTGATGATGGGTGTAAGCCGGGTCAATTACACAAATCTGACCAGGAAATAAGAAAAATATGCCTAAAGGTAAACCACCATTAGTCCCATTCGTCATTGTCCTCAACTTGATCATACAAATGTGACGCAGGTCAGGCTGTAACGTCAAGGATAATGTTCCAAGCCTCCACGAGAAACTGAAAGAGAAAGCGATTCGAAAAGGGCTGAATGACGCACCGAGTCCTACGCACCGCTCATTCCCGTGGCCAAGATGATGATTGGTTGGATTGTGGTGATCAATCTCACTCGGACTCGCTTCTCGCACTTTAGCGTGGTGGTTCTGCCGCTATCTTTATCTTTGGGTTGTGATGTGATAGGTTGATTTGCCGTTGATCATTCCTTTGGATTGATCCTTGTTTCTGGCAGGGAATTATTATTATTTGTTTGATGCTGTTTCAGCCGTAAGCATCAAAAGACCTCATCACGAAAGATACTGAATGAAGACATATTAATTGACTTTCTGCAGTATAGTCCTAAAGATCTTGAGTATCGTTGCGTGTAAGCAAATATGACAGACCTTGATAGACGTCAAAGGTACCGGTAATACCATCCAGAGCGTGGATCTACATGCGGCTTTGTTAATGCTGACACTGCCCCATTTTCGAGGCTGATGCCATCCCATCCACTAAAGACATCCATAATGCTCGTCTTATTGGTCTCAATGATCGACATTCGCGTGCTCGCCGCGCTAAAAGAGCGAGAGCGACAGCAAGCCTACCGTAGTGTACGCTTAGCAGATGAGCCTCCTTCTCTTAGTGCCAAACTAGCAAATGTACTGCATTCATTGCCTTGTCTTGCTACTCCGTATGGATCCATCTCTGCAGTCTGAAGATCCGAGTCCGACATTATCACTGCCATAGCCATTCTCACATATCAGTCTGCATCTTTCTGGTATCCTCATTATGTCTATATCAATACCCCATCCTCCCCTTCCGAGAGGATTCTTTTTTTACCACCATTCACACATCAGCATCTACATTCCTACAATCTTATCTACCGTCTTCCACAAAGCTTAACAACACATAAGCTTACCTTTATCCGGTGGAGAACAAATACAAATACACCACTCGCTTCTCCTTTGCTATCCCGACTTACAATACACATCACCCAACAATATGCCTTACAATTATACCATCAGGCCCGAAGATGCCTTCGGCTCCGATTCGCCCTGTAACTTGGATACTTGCCCTGTTGAGTGGAGTATCTACAGCTACCGACCTTCTCTTGCTGCCAACATTGTCTTTGTCGTTCTCTTCAGTCTCATTGGTCTTGTCCACGCATATCTTGGTTTCCGATGGAAGAGTTGGGGTTTCATGACTGGTATGCTTCTTGGCTGCATCTCCGAGATTGTTGGCTATGTTGGTCGTATCATGATGTGGTATAATCCCTTCTCCTTCAACGCTTTCATGATCCAAATTGGTAAGCCTCTATCCTTCTCATCCAGCTTCACAACCACAATCTAACAGTTTGGTTTAGTCTGCCTCACGATCGCTCCCGTCTTCTATACCGCTTCCATCTATGTCACCCTCTCCAAGACAATCAACTTCTTCGGTCCCGAGCTCTCTCGCTTCACGCCTAAACTCTTCTACTGGGTCTTCATCCCCTTCGATATCGTCTGTCTCATCCTCCAGGCTGCTGGTGGTGCCATGTCCACCGAGTCTGATAGCAACGTTGGTGTCGATGTCTCCATGGCTGGTCTTGTCCTCCAGGTTGTCGTCCTTGTTGTCTTCATCGCCGCCTTCTCTGACTACATGATTCGATACTGGCGATCTGGTCACGCCAAGGCTTTCGGCTGGCGTGAGACTGCTTTCTTTGCTGGTCTTTCCACTGCCATCATTCTTGTCCTCACTCGATGCATCTATCGTGTTGCTGAGCTCCGTGAGGGTTATGACGGTGATCTGATCAAGCATGAGGTTCCTTTTATCATTCTTGAGGGCATTGTCATCGTTCTTGCTGCTGTTGCTCTCTGCTTCGGCCACCCTGGTCTTGTCTTCAACAAGCCTCAGGTCACCATCTCTGTCTCTCAGGTTGAGAAGGGCGTTGCTTCAGGCTCTGAAAGCAACAACTAAGTATTTAGTCACTAGTATTCTTAAAAAGTAGGGACTTCTGGTGTAGGAATTTTGAAGATGTTTCCTTTTGTTCAGCGGATAGCGATGTGGTTGTCGATTTTGATTTTGATTCCCTCTTGTTTGGGTTTAGGATTGATAGAATTGGAATATTGGATACCTTGTAGCTCTGGCGATATGAGAACTGGCTATTGAGCTTTAGATGAGTTATTGAACGATTTCAGAATGAGATAGATGGACGGCATATGCCATATGGTTAGAGAACTTGAAATAGAATTGCCTTTAACAATCTTATGTCTCTCATCAGTGCGCAACACAGGAAATGTATCAGAGCAGCTCTATGTCTCGTAATTTCTTTGATATATCTTGATTGGCTGTCTGTCAAAGTGCAACTTCTGGTGAATCGTCGACTAATTGGCTTAGATGATACGAGCTAGGATAGCGAATGGTATTGGTACATGTTGGACGCACAGCGCAGCCTGCATTGAGATTGACCAATGACGGTGGGCTTCAGTAACCTATCAGGCTATGCAGACTGACATGTTTTCTTATACACTTTGAACAAGAACACCAAGTCTAATATCATGACAATGGCTTTAGTATCTTTGTGCTTCACTCACTTCCGCAATAGGAAGCTCATGCCATTGCTATGGATGATAAGATAAGCCCCACTACTAACGGTATCAGGTGCGGATTGAATGCAG